TTTGAGGCAGGATTTCTCTGCACATTCCTGGCTGGCCTTGAGCTCTTGGTGATCCTCCTGCCTCAGCCTACAGAGTGCTGGGGTTACGGGCATGTGCTCACATGCCCAGCAGGATGGATCTATTTGCCTTGCCCACCCCATAGTCTCTGCGATGTTGATCTCCTGGCTCACTTTGCTACTTGTAGGTGGGGATTTGCACCTGGGTTGGGCTTGCTTTTATTATTTCACTGTAGATAAAGCAAAAATAACTTGCCCACCACTGGAGAAACCTTGACACCCACCACTTAAGCAGGAGAGGCTGTTGTGGTTTGTGGCCTCAGAGGGTGGTTCAGGCAAATCAGCTGGCTCCCTGCCACCAGGAGAGGGCAGGAGAAGCAGAGATGGGGACCCCATCCTCCACCAGGCCTCCCCAAGCACAGTTAACTGTGACCTCATCTGCCGATGAGGCTGGTGATGGGCGCCCCCAGCCCGTCACCTTCCCAAAGCCCTCCAGGGTCTTTCAGATCTGAGCCATGTCGTTTACTGACTCTTCAGTCCCCGCAGGCAGTGTTCTTGGGTGCTCTGCAGCACCTCCACCCACAGTGAAATTGGGGTTGCTCCACGCACACAGGCAGGACTCTGAGGCACACAAGTCCCTCGGTCGTTTTCCAACAGCCAGGCCAGCTCAACTCGGGTTCTGTGGGCTGGGGGAGGCCGGCGTGTGGGTGCCTAACAGGACAGGTGCCACGCAGCTGGTGGGGGCCTGGGCTCTGACAGCCATGAGGGGGAACACAAGGGCAGCCACAGTACTGAGGCACACCAAGGGGCCGGACAACGGTGCTGGCCTATGTGAACCCTGTCCCCAGCCCACAGGCACCCAGCCAGACAGGAAGTGGTAGCTGACAGGGTCCTCCCACTCGGCCTGCAGCCTTGGATCCTGGCTCCAGCCTGCAGCTCTGACAACGCTTCCTCCTCATCTGGGCTGAGGCTCCATGAAAACAGAGGAACCCTGAAGATCTGCTTGTGCAGGGCTGGGCAATTGTGGTCAAAGGAAGGCAAGAGATACAATTGCACATGAAATCTGAAGAAGGTTATACAGTGGATAAACAGAATGTTGGATAGTCACACAATATTAGTTAGTATTTTATTTTATTGAGAAACAAATATGAATGAGACAGTTTCACAGCTGATTAATAGGATAGTTTTGATAATCAATACATTGTACAGTGTTATCTTCTTAGTGGTTATCCGTAGTGCAAGATGCTGACAGGATATCCTGTCCAAACACTGCTAGTACACCTCTTTCTTCTCATGGAATTAAGCGAAAGCAGCTGCATATCTATCCTATTTTGTATATACAAATACAAAATGATCTTTCCTTTGTATCCCCTTTTGCTTAGTCCTGTCAGAGGTGGGTATTCTATTGGCATCTAAATACTGTAGGTGCTTGAATTCAGCAAAACAACCCAAAACTTCCCAGCAGTCCACAGTAGTAGTGGGTTATCCACAGAAGTTACTGACTTGGGCCTTTTACAGCTCATTGTATTGATATGGCTTTACTTTATATATGTTTTAATACTTTTCCGCTGGATGGTTAAGACCAAGATAAAGCAAGACCTACATAACAAGAAATATAACTTTTGTATCTGATAAGGTCAGTCTATTTAGTATTTATTGTCTGAGACAAGATCTCACTAGGCAATTCAGGCTGGCCTAGAGCTCACTTTGTAGCCCAAGCTGATTTCAAAGTAATCTTCCTGCCTCAGCCTCCTGAGTGCTGGGATTACAGGCATGTACCACCACGCCTGGTTTATGGCTTATTCAGTCTTTCGATGGAATAAAATTCTCACATATACTCCATCAGTAAAGAACCCTGAGGACATTATTTAGATGAAATAAGCCAGCCATGAATGTATCAAATATACGTGGGTTAAAGTCCTACCAACAGGAAGGAGGATGCTGGGGTGGGGGCACAGTCCTGTGGCAGAGCACTTGCCTGGTATGGATGAAGCTGTACTGGCCGATACACCGTGTCAACTTGAGAAGTTTGAGGTTTAATTAAGTGACTCAGCAGAGAGCCGGGGTTCTCAGCTTGCAAGCATCCTCATCCTGTGCAAGCGGAGGGCATGGACACAGTGTGAGTTCTACATGCACAGCGCAGCCCCAGGGAGCTTGTTTATAATACAGGAGGGTTGCCGCAGCTGCTGCCCTTCCTTTCACGCTTCGCTGTTTTCTGCTGCCATGAACTGCTGCTCTCTGCCATGTGTCACTCTGCCTGGGAGCCAGCTGAGTATACTTTGAAACCTCCACAAACCGAGAGCTCAATAAACCTTTCCTTCCTTAATTTTGGGTGTTGGGTATTTTGTCCCAGCAATGGGTCAAAAGTAACTGAGACAAGCCCTGGGGTTGATTCTCAGTATGTAAAAATTAAATAAATATACAAAGTTGGCTGGTTGTCAGAGATGAAGAGTAGGGTGAATAGTTCACTTATTTATTTTTGGTCTTTTTGAGACAGGGTCTTGCTGGGCACATAGCTCAGCAACACCAGCACCTGGCTGGCAGGTGCAACTGAGTTCAATTCCCAGGACTGAAAAACAAAATCTTCTGAGAGAAGGGCTGGCTATGCAGCGCAGGCTGGCCTGGCATTCACTTTGTAGCACAGGCTGGTCAAACTTGCAACAATCTTCCTGCCTCAGCCTCCAGAGTGCTAGGATCAGGCGCGTGCTGCTCCCCCAGCCAGCTTTACTGTTTGTTGGTTACAGAATGTCACTCTTGCAAGATAAAAAGCTCTGAGGGCTGGCGATGTACTCAGTGGACTAAGCACTTGCTTAGGTAGGCGTAGGGGCCAGGGTTCGACCCCTCCCTCCAACCGCATGGCCTCACCGGCCCCGCCCCCAGGTGCTCTGAGCCTGACCGAGTTGAGGCGTGGTGATGCACGCCGGTAATCCCAGCACTAGGGAGGCAGAAGTCAGGAGGATCACTACGAGGCTAAGCTGTATAGTTAGCTGTTCTTTTTAAGTTGCACCAAAACAAAAAAGAATAACAACAACAACAACAACAACAACAAAACCCCCTTTTTGTCTTAAAAGACAAGCTCTGGAGGGGCCGGCCAAATAGCTCAGTGGATTAAAGTGCCTCTTAGGCAGTCTCGAGGGGGGTTGGATCCCACCCGCGGGGCACACTGAGACAGCCATTAAGACTGAGCATGGTGGTGCACACCTGTAATCCCAGCTCTTGGGAGGCCGAACACAGGTGGATCACTACAAGTCCAATCTAGGTAGAGACCCTGTCCTAAAATTAAAAAATAAAAAGCTCTGGAGGTGAATGGTGGTGACAGTTGCACAGTAACGCCAGTTTAAATGCCACAGAATTGCTGGGCATGGTGGCACATGCCTGCAATCCCAGAATTCAGCCAGCCTGGACTACACAGTAAGTCTAGTCTAAATCACCTCGTGAAACCCTGTCCCAAAACGGTAGCAGGGACTGGTGACAAACTGGGATCCCAATACTAAGTAAGCTGGGTTATGTGGAGCCAAATTTGAGCCCAGGCTGGGAAACCCAGCGACCCTTCGAGAATCCACCTCAACGTGTCTGTGCAGAGGCTCTGAGTTCAGGTTCAATGCCCAGTACTGCAATTAAAAAAAAAATACATAGGTGTATATATACTTAAAAATCTGTGTTGCCAGAGAAAGGCTCGTGCGCCTGGCACACACCCAGCGTTCGGGAACGGCGCAGACAGGACTGCACACAGCTGGGCCTCGGGGAGGAGACTGGTAGCCAACTTGCACACTGGTCACTAATCGCTGAGACCTGGAGACAGCTCCCTGTCCCTCTGAGACTCTGGACAGGGCACCACAGCTCCGTCTACCGAACGCCTGTTCATGCCCGTCAAGGCCACCTTTCCGCACACGGCGTGGTTCGCACCCCACTGCTCGCCGCAGCAGCGCCAGGCCCCGGCGGCGCCGTCGTCCCACTTCTGAGGCCGGGAAGCTGCGGCCCGGACGCTGCGCACCGAGGACGCGGCAGGAGGGCAGGAGGGCGGGCGAACCGCGACGCGGCCCGTTCTGACACCCAGAGGAGAGCTCCGGCAGGAGTGCCCGCTCCTCCTCGCTCGCCGCTCCGGGGAGCCCGAGTCCACAGCGTCCGACCCCCGCGAGTCCGCAACAAGACCCCACGATTGCCTTCGCCCCTTTGGCCCGTTTGCGCACGCCCGAGGCCGCGCGTCGGCCAATAGGAAAGCCTCACATGCGTTCTGGGAAACGAAGTCCGAGCCCTGGACCTCTCGGTTTGCGTCGGCGGCGTCAATAGACCGCAGTCCGGGCTTTCAGATGTTACTACGCTACCTCTTGGGCAATGTAGTGCTGGCGCTGGATGACGCTAGGCGGACGCACAGGAAGAGCCAATGGGAAGCCCTCTTCGCCTCGATGCTTTCTGGGAAATGTAGTTCTCAGTGAGCTCGCCGAGAAGAATTGCTGAGCAGAACTGGCGACCCGAGTGTGTGGGGCGGGGGG